TGATAACGTGTGTTATCCTTCGTCTATTGTACAGAGATATCAAATGTGCAAACATATTGGTGGACACAAATGGTTTGGTGAAACTTGCTGATTTTGGTCTTGCAAAGGTTTCATCTCTTATATCCCTTATTTCTCCTTTTCTTATTAGATTGACATTCCATGGGCTTTCAAATGGTTTGCTGCGATATTTTGTATTTTTTTTTTCTTATTACTTACCTGTTATGTCTTGTCATCGACTCATTTTTCAGGCCACTACATTAAATGATGTGAAATCTTGTAAGGGGACTGCACTCTGGATGGCTCCTGAGGTTTGAACACTGAGCTTTACACCCAGTAGAATCTTGAATAGCTCTTTTAAGTCTAACTCAAGTGCTGAGATAGTAAAGATTCACCCATAAATAACGATGCATCTTCAGCTATTATTATGAAAGACCATGACAATCCTACACGTTGAAATCTATTTTCTTAAATATAATTAAACAAGCCTTCTTTTATATATGTGGTATCCGAACATGTGTTTGTAGCCGTTGCCTTCTCCTGTGGAACATTCATTTTCCATTTTTGTGAGACCAATGAAATAAAAGATATATATAGAGTATGAAGCTTTCTGGTGCTACATTTTCACTTTATCAATCTATGTGGCTTCAGGTTGTTAGGAGCTTGGGGTATGGGCTTCCAGCAGATATATGGAGTTTAGGATGCACTGTGTTGGAGATGCTGACAAGACGTTTTCCATACTCTCATTTAGAAACTGTAAGTTAAATCATCTGCAGTTATTAAAATTTAAAAACTTTAAAGGTTCTTTATTCCGTTGGTTCTTTTTCAGTTTTCTTTGCAAGGGCTAGCCTAATGTGACCTTATATCCAATGGTTTTATGGTCCAAACATTCAGTGATTGCATCATTAGTTTCCTACATTCGGAAAATAGGTCTGTGAGGTCATTAGTTATCCACACTCACATTAGGCTGATATTAAACCTGAGACTTACCTGCATGGCGACAAAATCTGGAGAATTATTTTATATGTACTCTCCTGTTAATGTTTCGAGTGTCAAATTAAGTTTAGCTTATAAGTTTCCAGTATTCAATTAAGTTTCGTTCAATTGGATGATCTTTTTTAAAAAGCTCGAGCTATCTCATAAGCTTCTTCGGGTAGCTTTTCAAATAAACTCGTTGAAATTTTTATTTCAGCTAGTTTATCAACTAATTTTATCATATAAGCTAAATTAGCTTTTCAGCTATAACTATAAGTCATGAGCTATAAGCTATCAATCAATCAACAAGCGGTTAAAATCCCACTAAGTGAGGTCGGCTATATGGATCACATGTCTCCATCGTGTGTTCGATCAAAGCACATATCCTCATTCAAATTTAAACATTTTAAAGTATTTTTTATTGTTTCTTTCCAAGTTTTCTTCGGTCTATCCCTCCTCCTTTTAATTTGTGTTCTTGATTCTAATGTTTCTACCCTTTTCACCGATGCCTCAAAGTCTCTCCTACACACATTCCCAAACCATCTTAATTGAGATTCTCTCATTTTTTCGAGCTTATGCTATAAGCTCGAAAATCACTTATAAGCTATAAGCTAACTTATCAACTAATTTTACCAAACATAGCTTAAGATTAGTCATATCAGATATGTCGACGTGCCATATCTTATATTATGGTTAGTTGTATTCTTTAGTTCATTAGAATGTATAGATTTGTAACTTTTCCAGGAGATATCAAATCATGCTAGAAGTTGGGTGAATTTGAATAATATATTCGGTCCCCAGGTCAAACGAGCGTTGGCATTCATTCGGAACCTGAATCCAAAAGTTTGGGTCCTAACTCCTAACACAAACATAGATTCACATTCATATTAGAAACACACACACACACCCACACCCAAACCAATAAAAAAATAAAAAAATAAAAAGAAAAAGGAAAATGCAACTAGATAATGGACTGTGGAGTTGAAACAATTATTTTTCATCTGCAGCCGATGGCAGCATTATACCGAATAGGAAAGGGCGAAAGGCCAGAAATCCCGGAGTCACTTTCGAACGATGCACGTGATTTCATACTAACGTGTCTGCAAGTCGACCCAAGCTCACGGCCCACGGCTGTTCAGCTCTTGGACCACCCCTTTGTGAAGCGACCCCTCCCCCCTCTCTCTTCTGGCTTTACATCCCCTCAGTTATCCACCAAGGCAGATTTAAAAAGCTGATCTTACGGAATTTTCAGGTAAATAGAGTGTGATGCATTTGAGTATCTTAATTAAACACCCCCATATTCCAACTGTCTTTGCAATGAAACTTACGCTTTGGTGTGGATATTCAGTCGTGACAAGCACCGAAATACCATGAAAGGAGATAGAAACTCGGTTTTTCGGGCATCAAGTGTTCAATTCGACCATCCTGTTGGAACAAAGGTGCACGTTTGATAAGGTTTGGTAGGAGCAGGAGAAATGTTGTGTTACGGTTAGTTTAATTTTTATTCTGTTTATAAACAGCAGGGATTATGTATATATTTTCCCTTCTGTTAAGTGTAAAGTGATGGTTTGAAAATGTGTATTGGTGCTTGATGGTGTCAGAAGATAAACAGTATCATTCTTTGCTTTTTCTTCTCATCAGTAAAAAAATCTAGATCAGACAAGATTTAATAAAAGCTATTACAAAAAAAAAAAAAAAAAAAAATGTATATAATTCAAAATAAACTCGGCTCTGAATGGATTTTCTCATGGAAAACTTTTGCCGGTTTTTTTGTACCTGAATAGATTTTCCGAACGTTGGGTCTATTTCTACTGAGCTACGATTGTATGGGCTGAACCAAATTATGGGCCTTAAACGTGAATAGATTCAGTTGAGACTTAGATAGGCCCAACTAAAACTCAAATGGGCCTGGTGACATTCTTCTCATTCGACGAGTATTGACGAGTGGCAGATGTTAGTGAATAATGCTGTTATTGAGTCATACGATTGATCCAATGGTAATTGAGTCATACGATTGATCCAATAGTAAAAAAATGGATGATAGTACTGCAATGAATATATGTCTACCGTTTATGTGGCATGCATATATTAGTGATGTTAATATCTTCAAAAAAATACATCACCAATGTGTGCATGCCACATAAGCGGTGAACATATTAAATGTGCCCACCGTGGGTAGGTGAGTATTACTTGTACTGCAATTACTCTGATAGGGTGAAATCTAGTGGAAAAAATCCATTGTCAATTTATCTCATTTTTTTTTTCAAGCTCAAGTGCATCTATACTAACATTCAGTTTTGGTATTAAAAAAAAAAAAAAATCTATTGTCAATTAATCTCATTTTTTTATGAAGGCATCTCTACTTATATTCAATCACTTAATGATATAAACCCCTCTAATTGGCCATTGTAGTTTTGCATATTTACAGTCATAATCCATTAAAACTCTACTTTTTGTTACTTTACCCCTAATGTCCAAGATGACCTAACACCACTTTCAAGTTAAACACTCGTCTCCTTTTTGTAATTTATTTTTTCATACTTTTGGATGTAACTGTTTGTTGTTAATATCATCATGGAAAATGTTACGATCCTGTTACGGAACCATTCATCGGGATTGTATCCGTTAGATCAACTATCATCGACGGTTTCATGATATCTTGCAAATCTCGACGGAATGATTCTGTAACGGAACTGTAGCATCTTCTACTATTATTATTGTTGTTGTTATTATATGTGTTTTGAGTAGTTTAAGCAAGTCAATCCATCGCATAAATTTTTAATATATGATGAAATTTTATTAAAATAATTATAAAATAACATTTATTTTGAAATGAATACAATGTACATTATTATGAGTTACATACACCTTACAACGAATATATCATGATTCGTACTAGTTATTGTAAAGGAATTTGTGATAAGGACAAAAAAGTATTTTTATTAGGTAAACAGACCATAAAATACATAAACTCGAGAAAATATAACACCACGTGAAGAAAGAGGGAAAGAGTGTTGAATAGTCAAATCTATACATCACCAAAGCTCGCCTTTTTATTATCCTTTTTTTCATTGTATCATTTGTATTGTTCTTTTTAGCTCAAACAGGACGCGAAAAAAATGGATGGTGGGGCTCAGCCGGCGGACACCGTGATGTCGGAAGCTCAGCCGCCGCCTCCGCCGCAGCATCAGCATCAGCATCAGCCTACGATGGATCACATACCGGCGACGCTGAGCCACGGCGGCCGATTTATCCAATACAATATATTCGGCAACATATTCGAGGTCACCTCTAAATACAAACCCCCAATCATGCCGATTGGGAAAGGCGCATACGGCATCGTTTGGTACCATTCCTCTTCTCTTCACCGGCGGTTTGTGCTTTTTTCGATGATTAATTTTAGCTGAGATGATTTATTGTCTCGATTTTTGTTTTGTATGAAAATAGCTCTGCTTTGAATTCGGAGACGAACGAGCATGTGGCGTTGAAGAAGATAGCGAATGCTTTCGATAATAAAATTGATGCTAAGAGGACTCTGCGTGAGATCAAGCTTCTCCGGCACATGGATCACGAGAACGTCTGTATTCCTCTCTCTGTTTATCTGTATTTAAGCATAAGTTTGCCTATTGTGTTAAATGGAAGAGTGGATTTATTTTATTGAATAAGTTTGATTGTTTCATGTAATGTCATTGTTCTTGCAGAGTATGATGTTCAGCTGAATAATTCGTTTATTTGAAAATTGATTTATTGTTTTTATGGTCTTGTTTTCTGTTTGTTTGACAAAATGTTGAGGATTTTGTTTGTTCTGCATACTGAGGATTAAGGAGGTATGTATAGTTTGGGAATATAAAGACGCTAAGAAATGTTATTGGTCACAGGACAACAAAAATCTTGCTAGGAACAAAAGATTTGTTCAACTGAGTGCTACTCCTAGAAACCCGAAAAGTTGTTGGGAACAAAAAGTTTTAGTGTAATTTCTCAATTTACTCTAATGAATTGAGTGGAGGTGGAACTTAGAAAGGTTGTTATCACTTGACATGTTCTAGTCCACATTCGCACTTTAGTGTATAAGTAAATAGGTTTGGGGGGAGTAAAACTTCTTGACTAGTGCAATGCTTATGTGCCACAGGTTGTTGCAATTAGAGATATAATACCACCTCCCAAGAGGGAAGCGTTTAATGATGTTTATATAGCATACGAACTTATGGACACTGATCTCCATCAAATCATCCGTTCAAACCAAGCACTATCAGAGGAGCATTGCCAGGTTCTAATTTTAATTGCTGGTTTTGAAATTCCGTATATATCAAGTCAACGATCATTTCAATTGTTATTTTGTACAATCTTGAAGTTCTTTCAGTATCTTAGCATGGAGTTCAAATTATTATCATTATTTGGTTAAATTATATAATCCTTCTTTTCCAAGAAATCCAGCTGAAGTCATTTGGAACCAAAATTGTATGTTTAGCTTTTTGAAGCTTTTCAGGTAAAGCAGGATTTAAATAGGACTATGAATGTTGACCTACTGTCTAGCACTTACTAAGGCTTCTCTTTACAGACAAAGCATGTGCCTTCTGGCTAATCTATACTTAGGGGGGTGTATTCAATTTCAACTTTTAAAGACTTTTTAAGACTTTCAGAATTCTCGTGTATTCAATTAAAACTTTTAGAGACTTCTGAAAAGTTTACCTGTATTCAATTGAGACTTTTAAAGACTTTTAATAAGACTCTAAAAGTCTTAAGTTATTCAATTAAAACTTTCTGAGGATTTTGAGGATTTTTCTAACATTTCTGTCTTTATTTTCAGTAATCAACATATTCATTTGAGCAAAATGTTGAAGTTTCCCTCCAACATGTATAGCTACTCTTTGTACAAGTTGGTATAATTTGAGCCTTTTCATTTCATCAACGCTTTATCTTATGCCTGTCATCTTACAAAAAATGTTGCATTTTGCAATATTTCACTTTTTGCAGCCAAACACATCTCTTTTTTTATTCTATATTCACCATTCTGTGGAGCAGTCATGTTGTCCAATCTTGCTCTGAATCTTTTGCTAAGAACTCAAAAGCTACTTTCTTGTGTTCGCACAGTATTTCTTGTATCAGATTCTCCGCGGGCTGAAATACATTCACTCGGCGAATGTTCTCCACAGGGATCTCAAGCCTAGCAACCTTCTTCTGAATGCAAATTGTGACCTCAAGATATGTGATTTTGGGTTGGCCCGTGTAACATCTGAGACTGACTTCATGACAGAGTATGTTGTCACTAGGTGGTATCGGGCCCCAGAGTTGCTTTTGAATTCATCTGACTACACTGCGGCCATTGATGTGTGGTCGGTCGGGTGCATCTTCATGGAATTAATGGACCGGAAGCCGTTGTTTCCCGGTAGAGACCATGTTCACCAGCTACGTCTTCTGATGGAGGTATCTTTGTTCTTTTTTTTTTTTTTTTTTTTTTTTTTTTTTATCTTATTCAATGTCAAATTCGTAATGATACTAGGAGAACTTGTGTCCTCTTTTGTTGTTCAAATCTCATTTTTCATTTTGCTGTGTCGTCTTTTACATGGTATTCTTGGGTTTATGAAAAAACTTGTGTCCTGCTGGATCATCACAGTTAAAGCATTTGAAAGTTGTGTTCTGGATAAGTGAAATCATGAGATTTGGCGATGAACCTTCATGGGCAGATAGTATTTTTTTTTTCCATTATTCTAACTACTTTCGTTATTCCTTTCTTGATCTTTGTTTCTTTTTTTTTTGGCATATATCTACTGTAGATTGGCTGCATATTTAGAACTGTGTGATCCAATGATCAGTGATTAGATCTGTTTTGATGTGGAGGTTGCCCATACTCCGGAATCCTGTTTTCATTTTAATTTATTAAATTTTTTTAATTATGCTGGAACGGCAATGGAAAGGCACAGCAGCGACATACATCATATTGTATAGAAAGAAACTTAAATAATAATAATTATACTAGCTATTATTATTATTTTATTTTATTTTTTTCCAACTGAAAGCTCCTTCAACAAGCATGTACCTTTAACCATGCTCCTTCCACTCAAATTTATTTTTACTTATTAACTTCAGAGTACTTCGGGCCATGCTTATATCTTGTTGCTTCTCTTTGGATTTTTCCCGTGGGTTCCCCTTAAACATTACCAATTGAATTAATGTGATGTATATTGTTATGACTGAGGTGTTCTCCTTCATTTTGCAGCTAATTGGCACCCCATCTGAGGCTGAGCTCGAATTTCTGAATGAAAATGCGAAAAGATATATCAGGCAGCTCCCGCCTTACCGGCGACAATCATTTACTGAGAAGTTCCCGCAAGTGCACCCTCTCGCCATCGATCTTGTTGAGAAGATGCTCACTTTTGATCCTCGGCAAAGGATTACGGGTAAGAAACTCTGCTCACTAACATCAAACAGTTTTGACTTCAGACAAATCCTTTAAACTAAATTATTCAGCAAAATCGAACACAAAGAACTAAAAGTAACTAGAAATGTGAAAAAAAGAATGATAAAATTTTGAATGAGCACTAAAGAACTAAAAGCTACGCCCCAAAGGAGAAGATAAAAAAAAAATACAAATTTGAATGGGAACCCAAAGAAGGTAACAAAATGTAACTAAAAACTTGAATTGTTTGCTTCATTCAATGGACACTTTCTGTAGGCAGTTTGACAGAAGTTTTTGTCTATCAAATACAACCGCCCCTCATATTCACAAATTGCTCCTCTCTGGATGATATTTGTTCAAACTTTAGGATCTTTGTTTTTTATTTTTTTTGTTTTTTTTTTTTTTTTTTTTTTGTTTTGTTTTGTTTTGTTTTTGGTCACATCTCATTATTCACAAATGCATTATATCAGTTGAAGGTGCACTGGCCCACCCGTACCTGAACTCTCTCCACGACATAAGTGACGAACCCATCTGCATGACCCCTTTTAACTTTGACTTCGAGCAGCACGCTTTAACAGAAGAACAGATGAAGGAGCTTATCTACCGAGAGGCCCTTGCCTTCAATCCGGAATACACACTCATGTAAACGCAAATAATCAAATCTGTCAGCAATTTTTTTCTCTTTTTCTTTTGGTGGATTTTCTTGTTGTATTTTGAACTTGGGATCGGTTTCTTGTATATATTGTGCCCGTCCAAAATATGGACTTTTCGTGCTACTGCTTTCCTAAAAACCTTTTGACATTTGACAAGCCCCCTCGAATTTAGACTTTGAATATTTTGTACCGTCTTCTTGTTTTTAAGTGTCATGACCGTGTTTGGGTCGAGGCATGATGTATGCTGGTGTTGTTTAGCTAGAAAACAGAACTTATGCTTTTATAGTGAGTTAATTGTCTTGTTTTTTTGGTGTCGTGAAAGCACTTTATGCTCGAAAATTTAAGGTTATTGCATATGAGATCAATAGACTGTTTGTTTTTCCTTAGAGGTGGCCAATTAAGACCGGCCCGGCCTGCCGGGTCGGCGGGACTCACTATTATGGCTCGTGACCGGCCTGAAATATGAACAGGGCCAAACCCGCCGGTTCACCGACACAGCAGGTTTCGGGCGGTTCCGGTACCGACCCTTAAAAAAAATAACACCGTGGCCTGTTGTCCAACCCGCGGCCAGACCCGGCTCGACGGGCCAAAAAAATGTATATAAACCGCGATCGAACTGCGATCCTAATTGTCCGATTCGGCGCATGGGCATGCTATTTCTCCTTTAGTTTTATAACATGGACCAAAATTGCAGTAAAAAGGAAAAAAAAAATTGTACTTTAAAGACAAGTTTTGCGTATTTTCGGATTAAAATTGCAACTTAATTAATTATGAGGGATTTTTTTTCATTATAAATGATAATCTATCATCTATACTTATATTAAAAGCTATACTATTTACTAAATGTAGTATGTAGAATAGTCAATTCTAATTAATGATTTGCTATTTTTATCAAGCATTTAATTAATGCATCTAATATTTTTGGTATGCAAATCAAATTAGCATTTAATTAGTTCCTAAAATATTGGGTATGCAATATTAATTTTAGGAATATTCATGTAGTTCAAAATGTTGGTATGCAATACGTAAAAGAAGATTTTTTAATTTTTTTAAATATAAAATATTGCAACACGTAAACCTATTCTAGTTATTTTTTATTTTATTTTACATATAAAATCTAATCAATATTTAATGCATCCTACAAAATTGAATTTAGTTTAATTCTCCATACAATTGGCTGTAACTTTTTCAGTTGTACATTTTTTATATATTTATTTTTACTTTTAAATTAATGAAGCTCTCCAAAAATACCAAATCAAATGATTTATAATTTTTTTTTTACAATTTTAAATCTATATAACCAGCTTAAAAAACTCATCACATAGATATGGACGAGTTTAAGAAAATTTCATAACCCAACTTATAAAATTCTATCTCCACGAGTCAAAAAAATCACATCCCTCATCGTAACAACTTTAAAGGTAAATAAATAAAAGTCTAATTACTACTATAAATCCATTATCTATATAGATTTTTTAAAAATCTAAATTTCACCTGTCTAATTACTAATATTTTAGATACTTTTAAATATTTTAAATACACATTGTAAATGTTAATAGAAACATTTTTCAGTGTTCGTCTTTGATTTTGTCAAAACAAATCTCATAAAATCGGTGAAGTCAAAATTTGTACGTAAAGTCTATCTATACTAAATAAAGGTAGTTTCAAAATTCTTTATCTAATTTTTTCTTTTCTTTATCTAATTCCTTCTTATTATCTAATTGTATAGAAATTTGTTCTGATTTTGTCCAATCCTCTAATTATATTTGTATTATATCCCATCAAATCGATTTAATAAAAAAAATCTCATAACATCCGATAACTAAAAATAAGTACGTAAAGTCTTTACTAAATAAAAAAGGTTTTATTTATTATCTAATTTATTATCTAATTGTATGGAAATTTGTTCTGATTTTATAGTATGTACTTCAAATTGTGCACCCGTGTTCAGGAGCTACTTAACGGGCAAGTTCTGAGGAAATAACTCATTTAGTGTTTCTGTCTCGTGCATATGGTATGTATTTGTATTACACATACTAGAAAATTGTGCACCCCGTGCATCGCACGGACTCTGTACTAATAAATGACCTTAATATTGTGCACTCCATGCATCATCCATGTTCACATTTTGGCCTATTACAAGTCACGTACTATATATATCCCGTACATTTTTCTTTATTCATTTATATAATTATAAGACTTGATAAATGACCTTAATTTTGTGCACCCCGTGCATCGCACGGGATCTGTACTAGTTATATAAAAAGAATAATTTTTTTTACAAATTTAGAAAGTTTTTCCCGCCAATATCATTAAATGTATATTATATATAGTAATTGTTGCACAATTTTTAAAAGACACAAAGATCGGCAACTTAATTGTGTATATATCTGTTCTTCTTTTTCCTTTTTTTTTTGGTACTCAAAATCGTCGGTGACCGTAAATATTTGTATTTCTGTTAACCACCGGTAATAATTGTTACATTTAAATCTATTTTGTTTTTCAACACAAAATATTCTAATTTTCGGCCTTTAAAATAATTTCTAATTCTTTTTTTTTTTCCAACGATATAATTGATATAAACACAAAGCACAAATGTGCGAATACAAGGCAACCAAAGGCTGAATACACTTCAGCCAACAGCTGAAAAGACACAAGAAAAATAAACGGGAGGACAGGTCAGACGACCGCCTAAGACCCGACTAGCAGCGCTAGAATAAAAACATAACACAAAACAACTAACGAACCACAGAACAACTAAAACAAATACGAGACCCCAACAGGGGAATACCCGAGCGTCGGACCCCAACAGGGTAATACCCAAGTGTCAAACCCCAACAGGGTAATAAGATGACACTCAGGCGCATAGATTTATGCATAACATAAATCTACACGAGTTTATCTCTTTATCTGTTACAAAATCCCATTACATATCACAGTTAAAAAAATCTTATTCCTTATCTATAAGGATTTGAAAAAAATAAAATACGACTCGCGCTGCTAATTTTTATCGGTCTCATTACTAATATTTTTACAAATATTATAAACTAACCATACATCCTCGATAACAACGTAAAAAATATAATAATAATAATTTTAAAATTGTGTGTAATCAAATAATAATAATTTTTACAAATATCACTTGAATGTCTTTATTAAATTAGCTTATAATATTTTAGATACTTTAAACAAAATATTTAGACATTTTTTTTTACCTATTCGTCTATATATATACATATATATATATATATATATATACACATGTACATAATTAATGTTAAATTTAAATATTTGTAGACATGTTTTCTTTACAAAATAATCCAGAATTTTTTTTTTTTACACAATGTTAAATTCAAATGTTTTTAGATATATTTTTCTTCTAAAATTATTTAAACAAGTTGTAGGTGACTTCACATCTTTCAAAAATAATATAGAAAATTTTGAATACTTTTACATATACTAATATAATATTTTAGGTGTTTTAATATTAAATATCCAAATTTTATATTCTCTTATACAAAACAATACAAAATTTATATTCTCTTATACAAAATAATTTTACATTGTTTGACCTCGAATCTTTAATTTATAATTATTAAGTATTGTTTATCCTCCTCTTTAATTTATAATTATTTTTTTCTTCCCCTTTTTAAATAGGATCAGTAGTAATTTCCACTTCCGCCAATGAGTGACTCAAACTTGAGTTCTATTTATAATATTGTTGATTTAATATTGTTTCCGTGCATCGCACGGGGTACACACTAATATAAAAATAATAAAACGCACACACGCACACTCACAAAATAAATAATAATTTGAAAAAAAAACTCCGGCCAAAATTTGTAATTTTCTCTAATTTTCTCGGCTAATTTACATATATGCTTTAGTGATTGCCAAAATATTGCACATATACGAAATTAAAAACTTATTTGCAATATGACCTAACTTAACATAAATATCTACATAAATGCTATGAATTAGTAACGGACCATTAACATAGCAGCCAACTCTCTCTCTCTCCCTTCATCTGTGGCCATTTGTGTTCTTCCAAATAACAAACTCTTTCGAGTCTCATGGCACTGCCATCAATACATCCTCTTCCTAAATCTCCACAAAACCATAAATTGTCTTTTTCTAAATTATAAAAAACTCAAAAGCAAAAAGAAAATATGAACATGAAGCAAAAGAGAATATGAACAGAGCTCTTCCCTTCGATCAAGCAGCTCTAATGGTCGCACGTGTATGTATAATTGTATACATCTTTTTCTCTGTATTTTCATGCTTTTTTTGTGTCGTTAATTTATGTCCTTCTGTTTGTATGTATGTGGTATTTTCAGCAAAGTTTGGTATATATGTAGTATATTTTCTGGGTTTTTTTCGATCCGATGTTTATATATATATGTAGATTTTTGGGGTTTATATAAGTATACCAAATATATACGAACATATACAGAACATATACCGAACATATATATACTGAACATATCCCATTTTCTGGGTTTATATATGTATACTGAAAATATACCGAACATATACACAACATATACTGAAAATAATTTCAGATCCAAACGTCGAGTTTTTTTTAAATGTTATTGTCGTCTTCCACCGATCAGAAAAAAAAAGGAG